AGAGGAACAAATCCATAGGAATGGGATGTAATGGGATTACATGGCGCTGGGTCCTTCACATAGTTCATGGGCCATACAAAACCCGTCGGTAAAAGGAAATCCTCCCCTGTGCACACAAATTCATCAAATTTGCCTTTGAGATTTTGCCACAATTAGCTGAGTGGTTATTATCTATATCCCAAGACGTCTCAGTTGTCAGGGGTCAATACCCCACTCCCTAACCACAAAGCGCCAATGGTAGCAACATCCAAGTATTAGCCTAGCAATCATCCACTGAATGAAGTAAATTGTTTCGGAATATGTGATTCCAGCAAAACAGACGAGTATCATCAATGATCCATTCTTCGGCCCATCCACAAGTCAACTTTATCAAGATCCGTAATGATCCATGAATTTTGACATCTTACGTTTTGTTTATCCATAAATCCTACCCTCTGGTTATTTAACATAGCCATGGAAAATGGCCCATTTATAGATGATGTTCCCATTAAAACCTCCATTTATAAGGGATTTTCCATGGCTATGTTAAATAACCAGAGGGTATATCTATGGATCATCCGTTTCATCATGTTTCATCCATGGAGATCCAGTTAGATATCTCCGAGGTGACGGCGTGCTGAGCTTCAAGGAATTTTCGGAACAGGAACCCGATGATGAAGGTATCACTGCTCCTGAGACCTGAACGGTTTTTCAGGATTTCACACAGGGCTCCACACCATTCACCATTGTTATATATATTATCATATATTACAGTTATGGCCATTTATCAGTTATAAGTACTTATAACCCCATTTATAGAATGTATAATCCCATTTATAACCAGTTATAACTGGTAAATGGCCATAACTGTACCTATTAATACATTATTATAGATTATCTATATGATTAATGGGACTGGTTAATAGTGGTTAATCAATGATTGTAGGTAGTGGACAATTACCACTTTTGAAGGGAATAGTGGCGGTTTTACGCCTATATTTAGCAAATTTCTCCCGTTGTAGGGGTGTTGGCAAACAATGGGGTTTTAAGCAATGGCCTTTTTGGGGTTGTCCAAGTTGTCCCACAATTCTCATACCCAGCCGCATTGACATGTCGCGCTTAAATTCTCACTGGTTGGTCGGTTGGTCCTATGGGGGGGTTCGTAAGTCATGGGGGATCCCCAGTCGTCACCATGGTTATTTCAATACTAAAACTACAAGATGGGGCCCCCAAGATAGCTAAGTTGCCTTATAAGTGGCTGAATTCTATTGAATTCTTTGGTTTATGGTAGATATAACTATAGTTAATGGGGGTTATAATGGTTTACAAACCAACTTATAACTGGGGGGGCCCATCCTGTATGTCATGGAAATCCATGACGACTGGGTGGTGACTGGGGTAACCTTATTGTAGGAACCTCCAAATGATGGTAATTGAATGTAAATGGTATACCAGTCCCCGGCCCCTCTATTCATCTTTCTGAAAGGACATCACTGGGTTGCAGATGGTTTCTGCAGGATGTATTTTCTGAATGTTCTGCTGGTGAATTGATGTTTTTTTTTACTATCTTAGACTGAAACCCAGATGTCTGAAAGCAATATATGATTCATATTATTGGTTTCAGATAAAAACTACATTGAATATCAGATAAACATCATTTTTTCATATTATTTGTTCATATTGATTATATATATATATACATGATTATATACAGTATATATATATATTATATAATATATTATATAACATATATATATATATCATATGATGTTTCTTCTTGGTGAAGAATACCACTCTTTAACTGCAAGCTGGAACATTGGATCTCATCCCAGCGATTCAGAGGTTTGCCAACACCAAATCATGTGACCGGGTAAACATACGAAAACATCTGGAGAATCCATGGGAAAACAGGAAAAGCCTACGAACATGATCTCTACACATAGTGGGCAAAAGCCACATCTATATTGGTTTACGGGAGGGTGTACCCTCTGGTTATGTCAAACATAGCTATTGAAAATTGCCATTGAAATAGTGAGTTTTCCCATTAAACATGGTGATTTTCCATAGTTTTTTGTATGTTTACCAGAGGGTATCATCTGATAACCCCATGGTTGGTGCCTTGAGTCCCTTCGTATCTTTGTTGTCAATTACGACCGGTGTCAATTACCGCATGTTTTTTTGCTGATTTTGTTTATCCATCTTGTCGGATCATGCGCAACTTCGAAGATTTTCAATCAAACATGGTGAAAATTGAGTCACCATCAACTTCATTGCCCTGGACATATTGTCCATGCCCGCAATAACCGTCACCAGTTTTTTTAATGTTGTTCGGATATGCTATGACTTGGACATTGCACGTAATTGCTATGGATGAGTTGATTTGCTACCATCTGGTTATTTAACATAGCCATGGAAAATCACCATTTTATAGCTAGGTAAACCTCTGTTTTTATGGACCAGTTCCCATAGCTACGTTAAATATCCAGAGGGTAAGTCGATAGCCAGTATATGTTTTAATACCCTTTGACAGGACCAAAGATGACCACTATTTCTTGTTTGCCCACTGTTGATGCATGATGGGGGTACCCTGACCCAAAATAACGCCGGGCATGTGAGATACTCTCAAGAAAATCTAATCGAAGATAAATGTAGCCTAAGACAGGTTGATATGTATACGGCAACGACACTTAAATATGTGGGGCGGGCGAGATCGCGACGCCCCGGAGGTAGTATGAAACATCAGTTCCATCCGTGTATTTAAATTTAAATGTATGTGTAAACAAGTTGGATCCCGTATGCTTAAATGGAAATGGCTGGGCGGTCTAAGAAAAACCTTCCCGGAGGTAGTCTAACAGTTCGGATATTTAAACATATGTATATTTAAATGTAGTTACCGTATTATTACATATCATATGTATGATATATCATACTACCTATTTTAAGATTTTTTATATGCAATATTTTTTTATTATATATATATATACAATGTGTTGTCATATTCATAAACATGTTTTTTAATCATCATAGAACATGGCTTTTTGGAGATACACACAGAGACTGTCTGCCTGTGAATTCCCATGGCCTCTTCCAGGTTGAAGGTGATGAGGTGACTTGGCCTGACAGCTTTTCAGAGTTTCGGGTTTGGTTTTGTGGGATTCACCTGCCAGAACTATGGTTATTTTCGGTTATTTTGAAGATGACCTACATATCTTAACATGTTTATATCAACTTACGATGACGGTAAAATATGATTTATCATCCATAAAACTATGGTTATAGATTTTAAAGATGAGCTAATATGATCTATATGATTGGGTAACTACAGATTACTGGGACATGTAAAGTCCACTTCAAAAGAGCATGCTTATTAACAAGAAGTTGACAGAGGGATCAACACTTAGGTGATTCAACGGTGGGATTGATAACAGTTTTCGGGGGGTTCGTTATGGATAGTTGAACTGGGATGTATTGGGACTGTGATCAATAGTTGAATTATCTGGGATTCGGTTAGGGATCTACCATTTAATTTTCAGTATGTTGCAAGTAATTAAGTTAAGGGAGGCAAACACTTAGGTGCTTCAACAGTTGGGTGGTTTAACACTTAGTTGCTTCGGGATAACGAGTTTCAACACTTGCAAATCATTGTATTGGCTTATATAATATCTTCATCTTTGAGGGCCATTTAAGGGGGTGTGTAATACCGGATGGGATTCTACATAACGCCCATCAAATTGTCATTTCAATAGGGTAACATGAATGAACATCTCCTCAAAGAATTTGGCAAACGACTCGGAGTGGTTTCAGGTGACGCTTCACTGAACACATTGGATGAGAAGATGTGATTCCTGACGTCTCTGCATTTACACTCCTGGAAAATCTCCAAGTATTCTCCCAATTTGAGTTGGTCAAGAACCCCATGAACCATCATTAATCATTAATAACCATTAATATTAACTTAATTTCAGAGGGGTTGGGTGGTTCAACCACCAACCAGATATTGATATTGGCCTCACGACTTTCCGCCCACATTTTTCTTTCCTTGTACCGGTCGTTTGGTCGTTTGGAATCGAGCCGAGGAAAAGGCTCAGCACGACGACGAGCTGAAAGACTTCAAGAATTTGGACAAAGATGGTGCGGACTTTAAGAGCCACGCATTTTCGGTTTTTCGCAAGCCTCCAGAAAATGGAAAAATGGAAAAGACATTGAAAAGACACCAAGACTATAGCTCATAACAGGACTATAACCAACATAACTATTTATACCACTATGTTCATCCTCCATCCCACTATTTTAAACAACAGTTAAACATCCCATCTATTTTAACTGTTGTTTAAAATAGTGGGATCTTACTTTTCTATCGGTTCGGGGATTGTTATACATGGTGGATACGACCTCACTGGATCACTAGAAAGTACTTCTCAACATGGATATCGTTTCATGTATGGATAATATTTCATACATTAAGTTTCATATAAATATTGTATAAGTGAAACATTCACTACTTTTTGTTTGAGAATGACATGATGAATAAACGCATGATATCGCATGTTTCCAGGTTGCACTCTATTGCTGGGGCCTCTGAGCACAGGCGACGGTGTGTTGAACCTCGAAGAATTGAAAGCATGGGACACTCGGCGCTGGCGGTGGGGTTTCTGTTGCACGAGTCTTGTAGAAGGGTGAAGGCAACAGTAAAACTATATACACGTATATTCATGTATATTCAAACTATCGGAGGTCATGTCATATAGTCATTTTGTGCCAAATTTTACATGTTCCGACCCGTCCAGCTTGCATTTCGAGCGCATCATATCCCTATGTTTCAACAAAGTACAGGAACATCATCTCGAAGGCAGGAATTTGCAAGCAAAGCCGGTTACATTTCAGGCAGTTAGATTTTTTGCCAGTCCCAGGTATCAGGTAGCAACCATTGGCCCTCACTGCCATTTATTCAGCTTTGAAGCCCAGAGAGCCTTTTGAACAACAACATAGCTAGCGTAATATATTTTGTTTGTTGGACATAGCTATCAGGGGGTTGTATGACAGAGTGTCTTTCAAACGTCAACAAATAAACTTGTTTGCTTCAAATCGCTTTAATCAGTTCTCAGAGGGATTTGGAAAGGTCGAACTCAGCAATCAGATCAAATCTGTATATATAATGGATTTTCGTTTCCATCGCTGCTTGGTTGCATACTATTTTTTTTCGCTGCAACCCCACAGGTTTCAGATTGTTGCTTGATGTAGTCATTGGCTTTCAAAGCCCAGCTTTGCAATCTCCCTTCTCAGCGGCTTCTACCACTTAATCCCTAGCTGAGATGCTGATCCAACAAAGAGCGTCAGCTGTCGTTGAAAGGCTCAAATCAAGAGCCCCTTTTTCCTGCGATCTGACCATTCTTTTGTTTCGAGATACACAACAACATTGAGGAGGAAATCGACAATGGACATGTTGATACCGTTCACCATGTTCACCAAAAAATCTCATATGAGCCACAAACATTATAACATAAGATTATCATTCGAACAGGCATGATTCGTGGCTCATGAATCATCATCAATCAAGATTTTCCAGCCGTGGCTACAAAGACTTGGCCGCGAGCGCGCATGGGCCATGGTTTCCGCAGGTGGGAGGCATACCGTGCTCCTCCGAAGCGATGGCCGTGCAGTGGCCTTTGGAATGAACGGCTACGGACAATGTGACCTTCCTCCATTGGAGGAAGGCATGTCATACGCTCAGGTGTCGGCAGGCAGGTATCATACGGTCCTTCTCAGAAGTGATGGCTCTGCTGTTGCGTGCGGACGCAATGATTCTGGACAGTGCAACGTTCCACTATTTCCCAACCGGGAAAGGGCGTCGTACACATATGTTTCTGCAGGCGTGGAACATACAGTGCTCCTATGCAGTGATGGTAGTGCTGTGATTTGCGGTGCAAATTGTCCTGTACCGTGCAAAATTCCGTTGTTGTATCCAGGAAGTTCATATGTCCAGGTTTCTGTTGGCAGAGATCAGACTATGCTTCTCTGCAATGATGGTAGTGCCCTGATTTGGGGAGTAAATCGCCATGGACAGTGTACTTTTCAGCCTGTGTCCCGAGGACCCTCATACCAGTACACTCAATATACTCAGGCCTCTGCAGGCAACGAGCATACAGTGCTCCTGCGCAGTGATGGCCATGCAGTGACTTTCGGATGCAATCGCTTTGGGCAACGCAACGTTCCAACTGTAGAGCCGGGAATATCATACACCCAAGTGTCGGCAGGCATGTTTCACAGCGTCTTTCTCCGGAGTGATGGCCATGCAGTGGTTTGTGGATTGAATGAAGACCAACAATGCAACATTCCACTGTTGCCGGAAGGAATCTCATACACCCAGGTTTCTGCCGGTTCGTTTCATACCGTCATTCTCCGCAGTGATGGCCATGCCGTGGCTTTTGGATGCAATGATTCTGGGCAGTGTGACATCCCCTTCTTGGAACCTGGGATGAGCTACGTGGGTGATTGCAGGCCACTTGGCAAAGATCTTGTTCTGCAACTGGAGTTTCTATGTGAAGATGATGATGACGCAGTGACCTTGATATGTTCCAATTTGGCCGGGAAAGAGTTGTTATGCTTGAAAGCAGCTGGCTTTGATTTGGCCATGGATACGCACAGACACATTGCGCATGAATTGAAAGTAGATCTCCGGAACCTGCAAGTTATCTTACCCGATGGAGAGTTGTTAGCTTCACTCTATCAAGCAAACCCGTTTGCCACAGTTGGGGATGTGAGTGAAATTTACAAGCATCTCACGTAGTTTCACCATGCTTCAGGCCGTCTTAGAGTGTCACTGTGCGCGGTCTAAAAAGTTCTTCAGTTCAACACTTTGGACCTGGCGCAGCCTGGCGGTCATCAAATTGTTGGTGCAGGTTCCTAATGCACTTGGCCACATGAACAATGTGTATCCATCTTCAGATATACATTTAACATCATTTTAACTATAATTTAACATCAATTAACTTTTATTTAAAGAATAACACATGCGCAGAAATGTTCTTTATATATATATAATATCTATCTATCTATATATATATATATTCTAGGTGTATTAGTATCCTGTGCACTTTCAGGATCAAGTCTTCAATGGTACTGCATTCTGGGACTAAGAATCTCGTCGGAAGGGCCACTTGAAGGCCCCGCAATGTTTTTCTATCGTCAAGTAGTTTGGTTGGCTTGATTGGCTTGTAAGGCCAAGAATGTTCAATGGAATTTGGCTGACACATCCATCAGAGAATAGTGGCAAGTAAGAGTTTTGATTTATGGATGTTGTGGTTCTTGATGGGGGTACTGCAATCCAAAATAGAATGGTTTCATGCCATCAAATACCATAACTGGTTTGTGGTTTGGAATATTTTTTCTTTTTCCATCTATTGGGAATCTCATCATCCCAACTGACTTTCACTCCATCATTTTTCAGAGGGGTAGGTCAACCACCAACCAGTTATTGGATTGATTCCCTATATATATATATAATTATATCATTTGGATATGCTTGCGATAGCTTCCCAGTTATTGGATTCCAGTGGATTTTTCTAGTGGCAAACATCTCCAAAGTTTGTGATTCCCAAAGGCTCAGCCGGAACAAGCCTCTCAGATTTGGCCCTCCGAACTCCGAACATAACGACGATCTCCACACTTTTCGAGATCAAGGCGCCTCTAGGGAAACACAGAAAAACAATGGCTGTTCCATATCTATGTTAAGCTACTGGAGGGATTCTGAAGGGATTCTGGAGGGTGTTGACTTTGTCAAAATATGGCGCCAAACAGTTTTGCTGATTATATAGTTAGTTTTATATCAAACTACCCAAAATTAACTGTAAATCACCATGTTTCTTGCTTAAATCCACCATTTTTCTCCATTGTCCCTCCCTTGTTCCCCATTGTTCGAGCATTGTTCCAGGCATTTTACCACCATGTTTGCCGGCTGAATCCCAACTTGACGCCAAGGAGTCTGGTGTGTTCCACACTGAAGCAGTTGCTTGGTTCACGATGTCCTTTTCCCATGGGTTGATAGAGGGGTTAACCCCCTTAACCACCAAACTTGATTAATTAATGGTGATGAATGATGAAATGATGATTAACAGTGATTTTCATGGGCGACAACTGATACATCAATTCTGCGATTTATCATGATGTGTCTATATAATTCTATGAGACTTTATGCAGTGCTTGGTAAATGTCCTATTTTGGGGATTTGTTTCACATCACTTTCAAATATTTCTTGAAGATGATATCCCCAATATTTGGGTGATGTGAAACATTAGGACATTTTCCAAGCCCTGGGCCCAAAAAACGTGTCGAGACTCGGTCCCATCAATAGCCTGGAGGATTTCAAAATCCATCGAGATGTGAACGGTGGATTCTCCAGCCAGGTTTGATGACACCGGAGGCTTTATATTGTATGATTACTGGTAATATGATTAATCAAACCTGGTGTATATTATATAGTTATATTAATGGTATTGTAAATATTAATATATAGTATTACCATGAGTGTCATATTTTAATATATAGTATTACCATAGTGTCATAATTTTATTGAACAATATATGGTAATACTATATGATTTAACATATATGACACTATGTATTATAAATGTCTCTATACTTCTATGATTATATAATTTACAATGTAATATACTGATCTATACTGTACAAAATTACGTTCAAGAGTTGGTTTAAAAGAAACTTGTGCAGGACATAAACGTATTTCAAGGGCTCAAAACAATGGTTGCCTGCAATTTTTCCTTGAACACCACATGTGTTGCTTAGATCCGAGAAGTTTCAGCGGCTTCAATCAGCTAATCCTCAAATTTTGCTGGTGAAATCCCTATGTTTTGACGGTTAAAACCATAGTTTCGTTGGTGAAATCCCCATGTTTTGATGGTGTTTTGACCACAACTCGCTGGTGGAACTTCGCCCCAAGGCCATGCTGCGGTTGATTCAGACGGCCGACAAAGACGGAGTATCTTGGATCTCTTGGACAGGTCCAGCAGGTCGTGGATGGGGGGTGTCTGAAAATAGCGAAAACCCCTTTTCACCCAATGGTTTTGCTGATCATTATCCCGTTTTTAAATGGCTATTTGTTTGGGGGTATACCCTATTTTCAGACAAACCCATATTATGTATAATATATTATGTACAGTTATGGCCATGGCTACCAGTTATAACTGGTGATTTAACTATGGGATGAGATACATTCTAACTGATGGGGTGACTTGTTAGTACTTATAACTGATAAATGGCCATAACTGTATAAACAGTTTGCTATTGAACATGGCAATATATTTCGTTGATTTACCCATTAATAGCATGGTGATGTTCAATAGTTATCTTAGTTTACCAGAGGGTATATATACATATATATGTAGGTTGATAACTGATAGCTAATGATAGGTTATCTAACTATATCTATTGATAACTGATAGCTATTGATAGGTAATCTAATTATATCTATTGATAATTGGTAGTTATTGATAAGTTATCTACTTATATTCAATGGTAACAGATAGCGAATGATAGGGAATGATAATGGTAGCTTGTTATCCAAATTATTATCATTATCTAATGACCCTACTGATGCTTAATAGGGAATGGGGAAATGATCTACAATAACCATTAACAATAATCTCATTCCCCAATTTTCTACGTTTAGCACCAGTCGGATGATTATTATGTATATCCACCATTCAGATATCTGAATATCTAATCATTGGACATCTCTGGTATTGGTACTGATTATGGTAAGACACTGAATTGATATTCATTTATACTATCATCTAATTATATAGTATGGTACTGCATAATCATTGATTCATAATATCTGATATTCATTGGTACGGATTATGGTAATTCATGCATTAATTGCAATGATGAATGAATCTTGGTTTTATGGTAATGATTGTTGGATTACCGTATGTTACCAGATTGGTTACCATTATGGTGAATTATCATACTTAGATATCATGGTGAATTCTCATACTTAAATATCATGATTATGTAATCCGATCTTCCTTCCACAATACAAAACACCTTTGAATCTCATATTTAGCGTTTGATCCATATAGTTATGAAGGTCACAACCCATGGGCGAAGCCGGCGAAGCCACGATTCACATATGCCCTGCACCTCACGACACGATGCCCCGGATGAAAGTTAAAGGGAACTCCTCATACAAAACATGACTTGAAGTATGGTACTATATAATCATTGATTCATAATATCCATAATATCTATTCATTGGTACGGATTAGGGTAATTCATGCATGAATTGAAGTAACCGTTCAGAACATTTAGATCAGTGAATCGGATCAGTTTGGGATTCACTTTCGGATTGTATCCAAACTCTTGATAACCCTGGCTCTAGCCATCTACAATCCCTAACTGCCTAACTGCACGCCACATTTTCAGTATTGGTTGAAGGGACATCAGGAAACCTCTATAGTCTATAATTGTTCGCTTAACCCAATCCATATGTAATTACATATATGTTGATTGAATCCGCCATTTTGACAATGCTATCCCCAAGTTTGATCCTAAAACCCCTATGGTGAATACCAGTTTATGGTGCTTATCTTCCTAGGGAAATACCATGTTTCCGTGTAGAACCCAGCCGCATCCCCCAGTATAATGCAATTTGGTGCCCTCCCGATGATGTTTCTTGGTTTATAACCCACTTCAAACCTACAAACAAGACATAAAAACATTATGCACCATAAACCCAACAGTTCTGTTAATTATAAAATCAACTTAGCCAGTATAAATCAAGAATATCACCAATTTTCCGGCTGACTTCGACTTATTTCCCCAGCATTTTGGGGCATTTTCCGGCTGCGTCGCCGTGAAGTCGTCGTCGCATCGTCGTCGCTCAGGACATGCAGGCGACGGCCGAGGAACTGGAAAACGCGCGAGAAGAGTTGGCCAGTGACCTGGCGGACCTGGTACAGTGACCTTTTTGGGAGTGGAAACCTCTGGTTTTTTAACATAGCTATATCATGGTTAATAATGGTTAATAATGGTTAATAATGGTTAAACATGTTTAAAAATGGTTCATATATCATCAACCAAATGATATACTATATATATATGGTTAATGGTTAATGATTAATGATTAATGGTTAATAGTGGATATGAATGATTTAACAACTAACCCTCTGGCAAAAAAATAGCGAATTGGACAAGCACCATTTTTGTTCAAAGGCAAATACAGGTAAATCGTCCATAAATGGACCATGTTCATCCATTTTCCATAGCTATGTAATGACAATTTAATGGGACATGAGTGGGAATGAGATCCGATGGACATTAAATGGGATAGCGAAATTCATGGGATTTAATAGAATTTAATGGATTGAACGGGATTAAAATATAGCCGATATCCTGGTAGATCTGAGCTATTCATGGGAACACATGGGATTTATTGGGATTGAATGGGAATTTAGTGATTAAATGGGATTTACCACTAGTTAATGGGAATAGAATAGGATTGGCCCAAATCAACCATTTTAATCCATGTTAGAAATTGGTTTTAATGAAATTTAATCAACAAAACATGGTGATTAAATGGGAACGAATTGGATTTTACCACAAATTAATCGGAATTGGCAATTAAACATAGGCTGGTTCATTGGTTAATTTGTTGGGAGTTATACAATCCCAAGGCGATTGGGATTGTGAATCAACCATAACTCATAGGATTGGGAAACCGTTTTCAGCCAACTAGTACAATGAGATGGGATATGTAGGGGTATTTTTAAAGGGTCATCAGTGGAGTTGAGGAACTGGTGCTGGATGTGGTAGAATCATGATTTATTTTTATTTTTCTGAATGTTCGTTCCAATACATTGGGGATTATCATAATCGATGGAAATGGAACTCCTAATCTGTGGAGTTTGGGATTTGGGATGTACCGAGTATGTAGATGGGGATATATTGCTGTAATGCAATTAATATAAGCACTTCTATATGGATATGAATGGAATATAGTGACTAAATAGTACAGTTCATGAGTTCATGAACAATCATTGCCAACATAGTGATTTAGCCAGCACAATATGATTTAGCCAATCATAACTATTGAAAATGGACCATTGATGGTTGACTTACCAAAGATGGTGATTTGCCAGTTCGCTATGTAAACGTTTAGCAGAGGGTAGCCATTGGCGCCTTGGCTCCATATGGCCTATGGCCGCCAGTTTCTACAAAACTCTGAGACATCCTGGGCATGTCGTTGAACCACCACAGACGACAGAAAAAAGTGTGTTGTTTTTTAAATAAAAATAATAAACCAGCACAAAACCATGTCACCATATTCAATAAATTCATCATTATAAACCCATTGACTATAACGACGTTGGACATTTGACTGATTTCAGCGCCACGAATTGAAACATGGGGAACGGGTGTGACACGTAAAGCCATTGGAGCGTATGTGTAAAGATTGGTGGTTTGTTTTATTTATGGAGAGATGTACGAAAAACCTATAGCCGTATACCTGTTCTATACATGTCCAGATATCTACATGATGAGTATCTACAATATGCGCAGTTGACATACTAAACACATAGATAACACATGGACCTAGCTAGATGTATACATGGACGGCATCCTACAAGGGCACCGCCTTGAACTTGATATTTCTATGGCTCCACTACCCACGTCATATCATATTGTCCGTTAAATCTCCATGTTCGTCATTTTTTTCCTGGGTATCTATGGGGATGTATTTACGCAATGACTGGGGGAATGGTACCATCCAGAAAAAAAAACAGCTATGACCATCCGGGCACCATCCGGGTATCAGAGTTTTGACCCACAACCAATTTCATGGGGAAAACCCTAATGGTTTCCGGTGATGATTTTCCCTTCAACCAATCCAGTGATACAACCCTGAGGCATTCCGGAATCTCGAATCGAAGTGGGCTCAGGTACAGATGTCCATGACCACCTGATGGAGTGGGCAGAGAGCCATGAACTTTGAGGGTCGGTTTGCGCCGAATCACTCCATGACTGCACAGTAAAAAAACAACATACATGAGAATTTAGCCCATGAAGATTCAAGATCATCATTGGACCAATCCAAATGTTAAGAAATTATATGTGATTTGCACAATCAAAAACCGAGAAATATGATAATTTAGCCAAGGAACATTTTATATGTTGACCAATACAACTGCAAACAACAAGTGATTTGAGCAACAAAATGTGGATCTACGCAGCAACGACTTCAAACAAAAAACAAACATGTCCATTAAAGAGAACACACATGCGTTGAATGGCTGCTAAACGATACTAAACATATGGGGCTCCATATGAAATGAAAAGAATAGAATATATATATATATATATCCCAAAGGCTCATGTCGGAGATGGAACCCTCAAAACCATCCGGGCCCTAGGGGATAACACGTTGAGGGACCTTGAGGGACCTTGAGGGACTACGGTGTTTTGGGACCTTCAAAACCATGAAACATTTAGGGATGTTGGTTAGTCGCAGCCACTTTTTTTCAACCGTGGCTGCGCAGTGCTGCGCACCATGTGCACACATGCCCGGGCTCCAAGGACAACAGGGTGTCAATCCAGTTTGGCCAACTCAAGGTTCACAAGAGCCAGATAACGTTCCAGCGTACGTAGGGACACATTCCCCTTGTGAGTGGCTCGGGCGATCTTGCCCACTCTGCCCACAAAGTCTTCAGCTGCCAAAAGTTGGCTGATACGCGGATTGATCCGCTCGATCCTCACCGTTTTGCAATGATGATAGTAGTGGTGATGTTTGCAAATCATCAGCCACAAAGTGCGGTTGGCCTGTTTTCCCCGGGCCATCCGGCTTTTGCTGTTCAAGGCTGCATAGGTCTGCAAATGTCGAATCACATCCTGGTAGTAGCTTTCCGCTTGCTCTTCACTCAGAACCAATCCTGAGGTATCCATGTTTTTCAAAGAACTTGCGTAGGAATGAAGGCAGGTTGCAACCAAACGATCCAATTCTGTAGCTTCTGGTCGGGCAGCATGTTCAACACAGCAATGAGCAACCCAGAAAGTCACCACCTTGCTAGGGATACCCTTTGAACTCAAAACCGGGTATTGCATCCTTGTTTTCCTTCCCAATCTCGCCGGTGTGAACCGTGGTTGAGACGCTTGCAGTCCATGTTGTTTCTTCCAACGCAAGAAATGTAGATGCGCCTGTCGCAACACCAATGCCAAAGAATCACTGTAGAGGCCTCGTGGGAAAGCTCCCCAGTACCCCACCTCAGCCAGATAAACGATGGCACTGGCATTGGCAGTCTTCCCGGTGCCGAGAAGTTGTGAATGCAAGCAGTCATGCAACACTCTGTCCAAAGGGATGCCGAGTGAGAACACAATCGAACCTCTTTCATGAAATTCGCTTAAATCTGGCAGGCTTGAAGCATGATCGGCATTTTCACGAAAATCTCCAAGCGTCATGCTCAGATTCCCATCGTTGGCCTTCTTCTTGACACCACACAATGAGCAGCACAAATTTGATCTGTAGTTGTGCAGCCCGTAATGCTCAACAATAAACTTAAGGTCTCCTTGAAGAGACGACAGCATGAAGGCGTAGCCGCCATCTGACCAGTCAAAAAGCATTGTGGGGTCCACCATGTCTCGCGTCCTGGCAACCACATGACCCATAATGTCATCATAAGTGAACTCAGTGGCTGCATACTCAGGATACACGGCGATGGGGAAATATCTTGTCAGTGAAGGATTCTGATATCCCAAGTCGCTGCACCACCCAAGCACTGTCACTGACCCTGTCTCTGAACCCTTGTAAGCAGCGATGTCATCACCGTAGAAACTCATTGGGATCAGCTTCCTGAGCAAAGGGTAATTGTGATATTGGCTTCCTTTGAACCAATCACACGTTTCCTTGCCATGACTCCAAAAAGATTCAACTTCTTCCGGACTATGGTTGCCGAACATAGTGTGATGCCAAACTGACGAACCTTTGGCAAACAAAGCCTTTGCCATGTCATCCGGGAAAATCACAGAAATTGGCTGCCATTCGATTGTTGCCGATGTATGAGAATACAACCGGGCTTGAACAGTATTGATCTTCACACCCAGTCGTCTTGCGAGTGACCGTAGAAGAAAATGAAAATCACGCTCACAATTCTTGGCATGCTTGCCGCTGGATCCAAGTGAGGATATCCGGTTCACTAGATCATCTTTCTCCACCACGCCACCCTTCTGTTCACACCATTGGACAGCTGAAGATGCCAAATGTTGGACCTGAGTCATGCAACCAGTTTTCGAGAGAAAAAAACAATGTAACTCCACCCTGGCCCCAATGAGCACTAACAGGAATGGTCCCTCGTATGCTGGAACGGATAGAAATGGGTAAAACCTTGAAACATACCTTGATATTAAAAGAAGTTTGTCCAAATCAAACGGTGGAAATTGGTAAGCCGACAGGTTCTTGCTGGCATAGTGTGGGTGAAATCAACATATTTAAGTTTCCTCCCAAAAAAAATGTATATGGGAATCGTCTTGCTGAATGATGAGTTCAAATTCGAGTTGGCTTGGGTTTGTATTTTGTCAGATGGGACGTTCGAAAGTGTCATATACCACAAACTGGTTGATCTCGAAAAAACACTTTTGGGGTATCCTAGTTCAAGTAACCCATTGGCATCTACTTTCGGATTTAATTCAAATTCCAAGTCCCGGGGGTACACTAGATAGATAATGTCAACCCTAGGCCCTATAGGATTAATAAACTCCCAATTCTCAATATAATATTGGATGGTACCCCACATAAATAAACATATAGTTTATTGATCTGACTTGTGAGGTCCAAATCCTTTACATGTAGATTGCAAAACCAAGAAACCCTGGTTGCGCTAGATTTGCCTGATGCAAAATCTCCAATCAGTAAATTCTGAAGTTCCTCCGGCTGTTTGGGACGGGTGCCCCTTTCCTTCGCCGCCAAAATATGGGGCGGCTCGTAAGGGGTTAATCGAGGCTGCTTCCATGGCCGCTCCTGCGACGTCGATGGATGCAAGGCTGCGGAAGAGAACCTGGTTTGAAAATGGTGGGTATTGGAATTAATTAATCACGATGTTTTTTCGCATTAGTTGGTTGATTAATAGAGGGGTTGGTTTACCCCTTTAACAACAGGTAAATGATGATAGATGGTATACCAAACTGGCCCCTCTATATATCCCATAGGATCCATGTATGGTATTTTATGCTAACATTTGGGATATATTGATGGTAAATGTTACCATATATAGCATACATGGATCCTATGGGTATGAACATTATATTGCAAATGCCGTTCCTAGTTTAAACTTACATTTCCAGTGGAGGCTGCTGAGTCCTTGTCACCATCTTTACTTGAAGCCGCAGCAAGTTCACGTCTGCGAAACAATCCTGGAGGTTGCAATCTGACGGAAACATATTCTTTGGGAATATCGAAATGCATTTTCTTTGCATGAGTCATGTAAACGCTCAGGGTTGCAAAATCACAGATTGTCGCAATGCAGAGATTTCGTTTTGATCTCGGAAATTGACGAATCTCACTCCATGTCTCCATGTCTTGTCAGCCAGCAATGATTTGCTAGCACACCCATTGCCAAACTAGCTTGTTTTCAAGCTATGGCGTACACCCCATGAAATTAGATTAGGCGACAAGTTTTGAAAAGAAAACTGGCCACATCGCTAACCATCTAGCGGAACTGAGCCATCATCTAAATATGACGGCCAAGAAAGTCACTTCACTTCTCCGCTCGGGAGGTCTTCGCAGTCTTGTCCTGGCCAAACTGCTGGAGACCCAGCTGGCAGAGGATGGAAAGTGGAGGTTGTGTGGATCATGATGAGTCCCATGGTACCATCATTGGAATTCCTCAACTATATAGTGAACCATTATTTAGAATTTAGCTACGGCTACTTTCCCAAGAATCCCCTGGTTTATGGAATCACCTGGTTTGGGATAGGGGGTTGCCGACCACCAATCTATGAACTTCGGACCCTTGAGTCTAGATCATTTTTTGGGCAAATTTGGCAACCAGTTGGATCATAATTATATTCAGGGTAGGGCCTAAAGAAATGCATTTATGACACTTCCCCCAAATTAGATTGTTGGATTGCATCCGTATGGTTAAAACTTGGGCCCACAATAGTGTTGAAACATTGGGGTTGTTTGTATGTAATGTTTTACATGGGTCCTTCGACGACACCTTGGTGGATGCTTTGACCAAAGTGTTGGCCTCAACCGCATCTTCCTCATAAAGGGTCATTCTCTGAATTGCAAGCTCACAAGCAGCCTGCAATGCCCCCACATCAGCCGGGTCAATCTCCTGGCACAGAGTTTAGATGGGTTTAGGAGTGGTCACCCCCATATTGCCGTTATTTTATTTTGTATATCTTGTTTATATATAGGGTTAAAACATATTGTATAATTTCATATTGTATAATTTCTTATATATACAAATCCATCAGATTGAATGCATAGCAATTCTACAATGAAAACTTCAACAACACTGGTTCATCCCAAATGGAACAGATTCATGTAACCATTCCGTAATGAAATCCGAAATTGAACATTTCAATATAACCAGACCAATGAAATCTCAAAGGGATCAGGTCATTAGTTTCCACAAGGGCAAAAAGGTGTCATGGAATTCCTTGTTCGCGGTCTGGCGCGCAAGCTGGTGAAAGCTGCGTTCCAGCTCATCTGCATGGCCCTGGAAACTCTTACCTCGTTAGGCCAGGATGTGAATGTAGTGTGGCATATGGTTCGTATTTTTTTGAGGGCCCCAAGTGATTTGCCTACATGTCCCATCAAAGTCAACCAACCAGTGTTTGGCATAAACTGTGTCCCCGAAGGCCCATGGCTGAAATACTGACACGGGGAACCCAAAATAGATGTGTAATGAAGAACTCTTTATCTTGTACGATTTGGCCCAAATGGGAAAATCATGGGTCAAGTTGCACAAGGATTCCTGGTGCTTCAAATTCGCCAAGCGCACTGGCCACATGCGAGCTGATTGAAGATCAGCACTTAACCGGTTGAGTATCCAAAGAGCCTTTGGACGTGGCTCCTCGGGCATCTCATTCCTCAGTTACAAAATGATGAAAACACATGGGCCACATGGATGTTCTTATTGAATAAAACATGCAACGTACAGAATAGATCCATTGGTCATCTTTGGGATTATCCCCTCTTTTAGCACTGGATGGGTAGTACAAGTGGGATTATATATTAGATACCAGGGGATACAAACATATTGCTGATCTTATATTCAAACCATTTACTGACTTCGGGATCATCCCAGCACCATCCTACGTTTGAGATCCAAATCCTGAATATCAATCATGAATATAACATATATACTCAATAGGGAATGCAATAGTCAATAGGGAATTGTGGCACCGTTTTTCCGTTTTTTGATTGACATTGTTCATACAATTTGGGCCATTGTTGCAATGGAATTTGGGGTTCAAGATAAAGAAACTGGAGATACCCACTGACCATGCTTATCGATCCAATCACCTCATTCTCCAGGGTTAGTACATCAATATTGTGATTTTGTAATGACGTTAAGAATCTTCTTCCGGGTAGATGTTTCACCACCGGGTCTGGCTTTGGCCTTCGGGGCCTTCTTGGGTGCTGCTGCCTTTGCCTCAGGTGCTGCCGGCGCTCCTGGTGGAACAGCAGGGAGTCCAGCAGCCGAAGATGCCGGGGCACCAAGAGCCGGAGCGCTCTCTTGCTTGGCAAACTGGAGACGGAGGGGCTCGTTCGTCATGCCAGCCCCAAACGAAGTCAACGCATCTGAAGTCGCAAAGCGTTCGGCCTAGCGAGGGCCAAACTATTTGTTTATGCTTACCCAAAATGGTGCATATGATTGTCAATATGTTTTGCAAACCGTTTTTGGGATACTGCCATGCTATAGCATGACAGTATCCCAAAACGACTCCTCCTGAAACACAGCTACTTACCAACCAGGGGTCACTATATAGAACATTTTTTTTTTCTAAATGGGGATGCTCGTATTATATAACCATAGCATGGTGTTCAGCAAGGTTGGCCGAACTATTTTCCACAATGGGGTCAATAAAGTGAGGCGCCTGCTCTCCATGGGTTTCCCCACCAACTTCCATAGATACCCGATCTTCGTGTTCATCTTCGGCAACTGACTCCAAGTCAACCAAGACGTAAAACATCATAGCATTGATGTCACCTGGCGCGTCTGGGTGTTCTTTGAACTCCTGGTTCCGGGTTTTTTGATCGATGATTTTCTCCACGATCGATGCATCGCCATGCATAGCAAGCAACTGTGCCCTCGTTTTCCATCCTAGGCAAACCAGTATATGTGCCCCAAACATGAGATTTGTCAAACTCCTATGATTCAGGAATATCCCCATTGCGTTGTGATGCCATATGCATACGGCACTAACATTCCTACAATCTTAAGGTGTGTCATGTTTTCCCACCACCTGAGGTTGAGTCCATACTTTGTGCGTCCAATGCTGCGATCTGTGCGGGTCCTTGAGCATTTCAGGGACAGCCTCGGTGTCAATGTGGGCTGCAACTAAGGCATTTAATGTTTATCTTGATTTTGCGTTATAGGTCAATTAGAAATGATGGTATTAATTTTCTGATGACTGTCACCTAAACCATTTCCCATCTTGGTTCAACCAAGTAACTTAGACCAGTCCTTTCCTGCCCGGAGAAAGGCTAGAAAAACAGCATTTTTTCCCGCACGGGAGCGGGTCTTGATTGCCTGGTGCCATGACTCCACGATCTCATTGGGTATGTCGAAGCTATCGCTCGCCTCCAATTGCCTGATGTTCCAAGCAATACCCAAACAAGGAACCGTATAGAAGGCGAATGCGATCAAATATGTGTGTTCAAAATTTATGTACGGCATTCATGCCTTACGACATGGGGATAGGGCTATCCAAAAAAAATGACCAGGCCTTTTCATTTGAGCGTAGTGGGCTTGACGTTCCTTGTAACTTCCAAAGGTTACCTCCACACTTTCCTCAGAAGCAATGGGACACATATAATATGTTTTTATGTCTGAATGGGTGATCTCCAAACATTGGTTGAAATTTTCCGTGCATGTTGGAATATACATATTTGGAATTTGGAATACTTATAGTTTGAACTTGATCAAAAACATTGCCACTGAGAAACAGGGGCATGGACTTGAATCTGACCCGCGAGCGTTCCAGCTGGTACCATGGAAGTTGTGTGAACTGTGCTGGTGGAGGCAGGTGTTGCTGGAGGTGCAGGGGTAGGCAGTGAAGGTGGTGATTTGGTGGCAGGTGCTGTCGGTGTGGGAGTTGGTGGTGTTGGTGGAGCTGCTGGTGCGAGTGCTGCTGCTGGCGCTGTAGGTGGTGTCAACGCTGCTGCTGCGGTAGCCCCCAAACTCTGCGGCGGTGTCGGTGGGCTGGTTGCCTCTGGGACAGGTGGGGACACCGGGGGAGGTGAATGCATTGCTGGAGGCTTCAAAGGAGCAGAGTATACTGTGACTTCCTCTGCAAAAGACACACGCTTGGGATTGGGCATTGGGGCTGCTTTGGGATCTGCCACTGCAAGTGCTGCGGTAGCTGCTCTGGGATCTGCCACGGCAAGTGCTGCAGTTTCCCTGGGATTGGGATCAGGCAAAGCTGTGTCAGGGCTGGGCTTCAAGGCCTCATTTTCTGACCATAGCATAAAAGACACCAGCTCCTCATCTTCATCAGAAGTTCCAAACTCAGGAAGTTCTTCATCATCCTCTAGGGCGAAAATCTCCTTACGGAGATATTGTTCAAACTGGGCAAAGACAGGGTCGTTCTTGATCTTATCGATCTTCTGTTTGACCTCAAGGTCGTCCATTTTTTGGACCCAGTTTCGAATTCGTTCTTCCCTCTGAGCTTCATCCTCTACCTCTTTCTCCTGTGCTGGGCTGGTCACTGGAGGTGCAGGCATGGCAGCCTTTGCCAGGGGCTCGGGACGGGCAGTGGCAGGGCTCGGGGCAACAGGTGTGTGAGGTGTCGGGGGCGTCGCTTTTGTCTCATGTCTACACAAAGAGGCAACTTTGGGCTGTGCAGGAGTTTCGGCTGAAATCACCGTGCTGGGCGCTTTGGGAGGCACAGTAGATTCTTCAGCCAACTCCACCTTTGTGGTTGGTCGGGGTTTTTGTCTTCTCAACGCTGCTGCTGCATTCTGTGTTGGCTTGACTTCCATCTTCACACCAGTTTTTGGGATTGCTGCAGGAGTCGCCACATAGGCTCGCTGAACTGCTGCTGCTGCTGCTGGTTTTGGTGGTGGCGGTGCCACTGCTACAGCTGGAGGCATGGGCGGGGTAAGGCATCCTGGAGCCTTGGTTTGAGGTGTGGCTGGAGGTCTCCCCATGACCGCACCCTTCACTGCGCATGCTTTGCTGTGGATTACCTCGGTCTTGGCTTTCTTCATGACAGGTGGCACCATTGGCACCATGCTAGGTGGCATTGGCGGGGCTGCTGTGCTTTTTGCTTTTTTGTTGGCTGTGGGCATCACGGGCTGGGTGTCTGCACAAGCTTTTGGCGGGACAGGGTGGGCGACAGGGTGGGCGACAGGGCTTGCTTTCTTGGCAGGGCTAGGTGAAGCAGCAGGGGATGCAGTGCTGGGAGTTGGCTCGGCACTGATGGGGGACACCGACCTAGGCAAAAGTAACATGAGAGTGTGTGTTTGATTTATTTTGGACAATGTTATACACAAATAAGGTCAATAGTCAATAAGTATTGTATATGATGACAAGACGCTCGGTCAGCTTCATCCCAGGGTCATCATGGGGCGAGAAGTCCAAGTTTTTCGGCCACATAATATCTGACACCTGCACCCCAAATAAAAACAATAGGCTATCAAGACGGGGTTGTGGCTCAGGTTCAAAACATTTCTGGTATCGAAGAATGGAAAAGCCATGCCTGGGAGAACATGGGACCGTTGTCGCCTGGGAATCTTCCTGCAGGCTATTCAACAATTTGTGTCATATATGTAGCACCACTTAATTCCCTTAATATAAGGAACAGATACTGTTATAACCCATATAACACAAATAATTTGATGGGTTGGCCATGAGCTCCAACAGTCCTCCACTGGGCTGAAAGCCGGTGATGCCATCGAACGGGTGGGCGGTGGCGTTCTGAACGCCTCGCCGGAGTAGCCATAAAATTATTTTTCATTTGGTGGCAACATTTTTGCAAACCATTTGTATAATTAAACCTGCCTCATTCGCCCCAGGGTACTTGTCAAAGAAGGCTTTCTTTGTTGCCATACCGCACGGGCTAAATCTAACCCCGGATACGTCCTGGGAACAACATGAACAACCACCCCGAATCCAAAAAATATTTTGAAATGGGAAACCAAATGGAACACACTGACAGTTGTGAATGTGCATCCTGTCCTCCATCCTTGTATCCACAGGCTTCACCATGGTGAACCCCCCCAGAGAGTCGAGCAAAGTGATGCGGCTAGGGACTGAGGGATTAGGTCACCATGGCATATGTTTATCCCCAAATGTTAGCTGACGTTATCTGACGGTGGATTTTGGTATGTTTTTATCAACAAAAATTATCTGACGCTGTCTGACGGCGGATAAAATATTTTTTTTACCAAAAAGCTATCCGACGCTATCTGACGGTGGGTCCCTCGTGAATGAATTCGTTTGAGGGCCCGCGAGGGACCAAACCGACGCTATCTGACGCGCCCTCCCCGATCCCAAAATATTAATCGATATCCGACGCTATCCCACACGCCCCCCACCCCCAACCCCAAAATATAAATCGCGATATCCGACGCTATCCCACGCGCACCCCACCCCCAAAAAGCATCTAGATCGCGGAAACAAAAGATATTTTTTCAATCATGCGACCTTTCTTGAAAACGGTTGAACATTGTATCCGCCAGATAGCGTCAGATAGTGACCAACATTATCTGATGTTCTCGAAGTGCCCCAATCAAACATGTCATTTGAGAATCACCTGCCAGGTAAATTGCCTCAAGATGGGCTCCTGGTTCACGAACAAGGCTTGGATACCATTGTTGGTTTATGCCTGATTATCATGGGGTGACTGCTTCATTTGTAAAGTTCCCGAAACAACTTGACATGTAACCCATTTATAAAGTGCCATACTTGAAATGTATTGAGTATCTGTCCCCAAACAATATTTGGCATTTAGAGATCCACGGTATTGGGCTGTTGTTGCATTTTATTTGATCCACATCCCCACAGCATATGCTCGTTATACAATTTTTTCTCCACTTGCACCAAGTGCACACAGCCAGCTTCCCACATTTAGAAATATGGGGTAAGGCACCTGTAATTAGGTATGGTACCATGTGTAATTTCACGGCGACGGGATTGCACATCGTCGGTTCTTTAAAGTATCTTCCAACCAGCACAGCACTGGCTCCATGTTGGCATCGGCCCAAACATCCTGTGAGTGGTCCACCAATGCAAGTGTAACTGGTCGGGGAGCCACGGTGGTGTTATGTAGAGGAGACCAGGCATCACGGACCTCGGTATATCATGAGTTTGCAGGCGATGAAGCCATTTTTCATATCGTATACCATATCGATGGAAAACATAATGTAACTATATGAACGCAGGGAAAGTAAGGACGCCCACTGAGTAAGATAATGTTCCAAACTTGAAACTTCAGTTTATTTTTTTGCAAGGGAGCCCATAGGGTAAGACCACATATTATGATGTATCATCATAATTGATGATTGATTTTACCCATATTAGTGGATTATGGTCGAATGTGCTTATCCCTTGATTTATGGATATTCCTCGTATAGAATGGATGGTCATCATGGGTTTCCACAATGATACAGCATTTGATCCACTTATGGCCACCTTGTAGTGAGAACCCAAGAACCCACAAAACGGTCTCACCCAGTTAGGACACCTAGGACAATAATATAAATGGTCTTTCTCGAAATGGGTACGTTCTTCGAAGTTAAACTCATTTTAGTTATTTTTAAGTATATATCGATCATTTTGAGAAAGACCCATGTATGTTCTATAATTGGATTATTCCAACCATCATCTTCAACAATGTTGGAGAAACAAGCATGTTTTGTTTTGGTGACTTCAGGGGGTCCCAAAGACGTAGGCTGAGTTACAGCTCGTGCAAAGCGAATGGGGTAGACCTGGGATTTTTTCAACTTGGCCAACCCCTTGAAGCGGCGGCGTCCAGCCCGGTCATAGTAATGGCTCACTAGGCCATTCCGCCTGCGATACCTTCGGCGTCGGAGTCTCCTGCGGCAGCCCCAGTCAAAGAACCAGGCCTGGGGTAAAAAAATCAATATGTCACATGTCGATATTTCCCCAATGGTCATTGACGTACACCCATGCAATGGATTCTACAATTGAAAGCAGTCCTTTGCAGCCCATGAATGAAATTGGAATTACTCCAGAGACGAATTGGCTTGGGTGTAGCCGTTCGGGAAGATCCAAATTCACCCAGCCAAGTAAAGCTGTCGAAGATGTTCAGGTGTCCAAAGAGGGTAGCCAGTCGGGGATGCCATGGTAACTCAGCACCAACAAGGTACAAACCACCACAGGTAATTGAGTAATTGAATTCGATCCATCATATTTGATTTTTGTACACAGCTAGCTCGGCAATGTATTAAGATTCCAACCAAAGAAGTCATTGGATTTTCGATCATAAAGAAAGCGCCCTGGTGGATGACGGCATAGATCAACAGCGCGCACTTAGTTGCAAGTCAAACATGAAATCATTGAGCACTGCTCAACTCAAGTCGTGAACTTTTTCCACCCAAAGGTTAAGGCAATTCAATAGACATAATGAAAACCATAGGTTTCTGACAGGATCTTCCCTAAATAGTGATTGTGTGGCATTGTTTATATGAGCCATGGCTCCCATTGACTCACATTATTGCCCAATGCAAGGTTCTATGGCGTGAACCCCCCGAACAGTTTCAAACCAAGCATCTCTGCTCACCAAGGTGTTGGCAAGTCCAGTGGCCTTCGAATTCCTTGGCCGGGTGGCTCTGGCTTTGACTTCGGAGCAGGTTCAACATGCTACAGGGTCAATCTTGGAGAAGCCAACATCACTTAGTTTGATCCCCTAAATTGACACTCAACGTGTCAACGTGTAAGACATGTGTTGCAATTAAGGGTCGTTCCGAGAGGTTCTTCACGTGACCTACGGCTTGTTCCACCTTAGCAACAGGGGGGAAGATGATACATGGGCCTGGGTAAATTGTTGGTATGGTTGCACAAGAAAGGCTTTCACCTCAAGGACATCTTTCCTTGTTCCACATGGATGTAGCAATGCTTTGGATGAAAACAATTACATATATATATGGGTTTCCTGAAATGAGGGTACCCCAAAATGATTGGTTTAGCTTATGAAAATGGATGATTTGTGGATACCACTATTTTAGGAAATCTCTAAATGGGCGAAGGTGATAGGTTGAAAGTCAATTTATCATAAGCGACAATTCTTATTCGGATTGGCACCATGCAAAAACATTAAACCCAGCTCGATGCAATCAAAGGTACGGTTTATTGTCACCCATGTAGAACAAGGAATGCCAAATGTCACAAGTCCAGTGGCACATACTTGCATGATAGCAAGTAGATGTCGACAAAAGCCTCCAGGACTGAGAATATCCTTGGGCCACAAAGGTGGTTTTCCTTGTTTGTTCTTTCGATCAAACAGACGTACACATAGGATCAAATCAAATAGGTTCAAATTGCGAGTTATATGCAAAACTTGTTTCCATGACTAAGTTAGACAAAGAACATCGGCTTCATCCCGTTCGAAGTCCAATGTGCAAACACCATGCCCATGCTCAGCAAATGCTTTGCTGAGATTGGCTTTCCCAGCAAAAACATCCACCAGTGCGTACTTGCCAGGTGTGTGCACAAATCCCTACAGGGAATACCCGAACAATATCATACCAACCCCAGATTAACAAACCCGATATAAAGATTTTTCAAAACAGTTCAAACCATGATTTATAAAAGATGTTGGTTCCAAAATACACCTAGCTTCAAACTAGATGGCTCGTGACCCCCCGAAATAGATACAAACATGATGGGTCATGAAAACAGTTTGGGGCTTTATTTTCAAGGACAGGAATCTTTAAAGGATGAAAATCCTTGATCGAGTTGATTTAAATTATATAACACCCACTGCCTGAGCAAGGAGGCTCATGACACACCAAAGGCGAAATGGCACTCCTGTCACATGCACAGGTCCACGAGGGATTCGACGGGGAATGACCACTGTGGCTCGATCTTCATCTTCACCATCCATAAGATGCCTTAGTGATATTGCAATGTTCGGATAACTGGATTTTTATACCTTAGTGATATGGCAATGTTTGGATCATTGGATTTTTAAGCATATAAGATACCTTAGTGATATGGCAATGTTTGGATAACTTGGTTTTTAATTATGATATGGTAATGTTCGGATAGCTGAATTTTCAAAGATGATATGGCAATGTTTGGATAACTGGATTTTTAACCACCCATTAAATACATGGTGATATGGCAATGTTCGGACGATTGAATTTTTAAGCATATAAGATACCTTAGTAATATGGCAATGTTTGGATAACTTGATTTTTAATTGTGATATGGCAATGTTCGGATAGCTGAATTTTTAAAGATGATATGGCAATATTTGGATAATTTTAACCACCGATTGATTTTTTTAGCATATAATAAGATACCTTAGTGATATGGCAATGTTTGGATCATTGGATTTTTAACATGACTCTTGGTTTTCACCAATGTAGATAATATTAATTCAAGTTGCCTCCTCTTTGCCGGTGGCATTGGTAGACTGGAGAACGCCACAACACCACAACGCCGAACCACACACGGCTGAGGCTGGACACAACCACAGCTACAAGTGGACTACATCTTCCAGGCACCGCAGCCACCAACTGATCAGGATTGATGGCAGTAGACTCAAACTAATCCCTTTCCCTATCTATTAAACACCCCCCAAGAAACAATGGTTTTGGTACAGTACAGGCGATTTACAAATTATTTACATATATTTCGGTCCCATATCTACAGGGGGTGTTCAATATTAGGGTGATGGGAACAATGAACAACTAGCTACTCTGCCTTCGTTTTTGGAATCACAGCATGCTCCCAATGCGACTCCTGCCAAGCTCGCCCTTCGCGAGCGCAAGTTTCGATAATTGAAGTAGGCATCGCGACCACAAGTGTCTCACCGGGCCAGCACAAACAGCTACTAGATACTCATGTTTGTCATGACCTACCAAAATGAAAGGATGACTAGTGTTGATTTCTACACGTGGTAGCGGTTTTAAAAAAGCACGAGCCCACAAATGAGACACAATGGTAAGTCCTCAATGCTTGGAATCTAAACTAAACACCGCTGTCCGCACTCTTTGTGCTGCTTCTGGGTGCTGAGCGAAAACTGCCGCAAAGCCCATTGACAGCCCCGTGAATCTTAAAATAGTCAACAGCTGCAGCACCTTGCTTTCGGGCAAGTGCTTTGTCCCCAGGGCACAGTGACAGGGACTTCCGATACGCGCTCGAGTACACGTGGTTGTGCGTGATGTGGGAGGGCGGGATCCTGTCTTTGTTGTCATCAGGCAAGGTTTTTCGAGTCCTAGGTTTCTTGCAGGCTGCCTTGGGCTCCATGACATCATCCGGTGCAGGGAAAGGATCAGCAGGAACGACTGCTGAGTGTCCTGCGGATCCACTTGCAGCTCTGGCCTTGTTGGCCGCTTTGGGTTTGGGTGGTGGCTTGGCTTTTGGCTTGGCTGCTGCCTTGGCTCTTACACTTTGCTTTGCAGTCCTGGACCTGGTAGACTTTGCTGCCTTTGTGGCTTTGCTCTTTGGTGCACGATTGGCTCTGCCTTTCGTTTTGGGTGCTGCTTTGGCCTTTGCTTTACGACCCCGTGTCTTACCAGCATGTTCCCCCTGCTTTGAAAACTCTGGCGGATCCATGTCCTTCACCTGATTCTGAAGCTCGGTCATGTAGTCAGGTGCATCAGCTAGAGGATATTTTCCCGGATCCTGCATGCCAGGTATCCAACATCAGTGAAAAAGTGAACCGCGTGATAGATGGTGGGGACGCCAAGCTATTTGGATCGGAAACAGGTGTGAAGGTGATTACAATGGAATAATCAAACCGATCAAATCATCACGACACCCCTGTCAAAAAACGCCTTTGACCTTTGTCTAATGTATAGCCCATTATTTCATAATTCATCCCATGTAGAGTCCTTGAAGTCAGAACTGCAAGGCTCTGGCCCAGCAAAGGGTGGACCAGATCCTTCCTGCCAGGGTCATGGATGTCCATGGAGCTGGATGCTATGCTTTATATATTTCATTCTATTTGGGACTTACTAAATTCAACGATTATTATGTTTTATGTATAGCAAACATATCACACCATAGCGTTCAGTCCTTGAAGTCAGAGGCGCAAAGCTCTTGTCCCGCCAGGAGTGGAGGATCTGTGTCCTTCGCTAGCATCACAGAGTGTTGCAAACGGTTGATTGTTTTTATACTGATCATGTACTTGACATTCTCCATGGAGTTCTCTTTGTTAGTCACCAAAATGAACACCAATTATGACAACTGCACATGGTGAGAAAATAAGGCATATCAAACTCTCCAAATGGATCATCTTTGGTGGGGGCACCCATGATTCCCGTGTGTACCTATGGAATATATATCGCTTATTTATACATTATAGCCCTAGACAGCATCGGAGAGAAAATACTAGTCCTTCGCACGGGGAGCAGCATGTGACTCTGCAGCAGGCGCAAGGTAGCTGTCCTGCAAGAAAGTTGGGTTTGATGAATGTTTTGTGGACCCTTCGGTTTATCTAAATGTGATTAAATGGGATCTGCGTGCAGCTTGAAGATGACTTTCCATTCCAGAAATATGACATTGCATAATCGCATTATTTAGAGGATTTTATTGACCCACGGCCATGTGCCAAAAACATATGATAGCCATCCCAATTTACTAGTCCTTCAGTCCTTGGCGTTGGGAAACGGTGATCAATATCCATAGCATCTTCAAGATATTCCTCCTGCAGCTTTGCAAAAGAGAAGTATAGGAACCCGAAACCCCATGTTTTTTTCTTAAACACATCAAAACGGTATGAAACTACTATGCAAATGATCGACAATGGCCTGCTGCCAGAAACACGTTTAATCATGCACCCTATCCATCCCCGTCGGAAAGGATCAATGGCACCTCTGCAGCGCAACATTGCGAGTCTGAAGCCAGAGGCTCAGCGGTCTCGAGGCCATCAGGGTCGCAGTCATCGATCACCACATATTCAGCCTGAAAGTCGAGGGCATGCAGATGAATAGATGTGTATCCCAGGGGTTACCTATCATTTTCATTGTATTATTCATTAATTAAAGTCGCTCTCTACATAGTGATCTTCCTTTGAACCAAGAAACTGTGGAAACATGAGGTTCGTCCGGTTCATCATGGGCATTAGATGCGCATTGTCCAGGGTCGCCCACCATGAACAAGTCATCAACCATAGGCAAAGGCCGAAGACGGCGAAATGTTCGGGGTGGGGTCTTATCAACCATGTCTTCATGCACACCTTGTGGGGCTTCAACCATGGTGGTCTCTCCCAGCTCTACATCAACATCTGTTGAAACATCATCCACAGGGTGACGGGCATTTTGGCAGTGGTGACAAACATCCCAATCTTCTTCATATTCCGGTTGCCTATCGGGCATTTCCAACATGTGACAGTAGCAGGCTCCTGTAGGAGAATCCGGGATCACTTCAACTTCAGAGATGTCCATCTGAGTCGGTACAGGGCTGGGTTCACCCGCCAAAGGATTCTGATCCCCCAGGTAAACATGTGCATGTTCATTCCCCCCTGCACCCGGGCAAACTGGCTCGTCTGCTGCTGGTCCCTCCAACATTGGAGGCTCATGCAAGTCCATGTGATCACCATGATCTTGAACATGTATCTCATCGTTGGCTTCACCTTAGGCTAGCTCCCCTGTAACTAGTAAGTAGGTTGTTACCAGGCATGGACATGGAGAGGCACAATGCATGGCACATATATGGTTTATATTTTGTCCTGTTGGGGCCCCAACTAGTAGTCGTCATCTCACCATCAGACACCTCCCAAACCGCTGCGTCCGGATTCTGAGGTGGAGATTTCTTGGCGACCTTCTTGCAGGTGGGCCGGGCTCTGCGCATGTTGGGCTTCATCACCGCTTGCAGCTGGGCAGCCACCTCAATTCAGCAGCTTCAGAAACTAAGGGGTAATATATTATATTTGAAGTGCGGACCATCACCAATAGTACATGAATATGTGCCCTTTACGGATGACATGATTCTATCTATAGCTCTGTATTTCAACTATAGGAAACCACCATGGTAAATCACATTTATTTTCAAGGCACTCCGCTGAGATGTGATCTCTTCAGTGAGCGTCTCCAGTATCGCCGTGAGTAGGAAAGCAAACTGTAGAGGCAGTAACTCTCCTTTGTGGGAATAAACGCTTCCATGGTTCAGCCCAAACAGGGTTCAATGGTTTTAACAGGTGGGAAATGGGTGATTTTTTCATAAACATCTTGTTGGAAGGCCAAAGATCAAAACCCCAACCCTACACCTGATTAATATTTATCCCAAGGCTCACCATCTGCCCATGTAATTCGGTCCTTGGTGTACCTGGCCTGGCTCAAATTGTTCTTGGCCTCTTCATCCATCTCCAGGAACACCCGGGTCAGAAAGTTCGAGGTATATTCTCCTCATGACAACGGACACCCACCGTATAGAAATGAATTGTTTTTATTCCGCTATTAATTGTTATCAGTGGGCTCTGTGAATCAGGGTTTGGGTTTTGTTAGCGAGGGTTTAGTATATATACTATATTGTGGCTAACTTGGATGAAGGTATAATATCCAATTGCATTTTGGTTTTGGCAATCAAATCCGTAATCCATTTATCCATTGTAATTTCTGATGACCACAGGGTGCCAGGAATGATCTTATTGTTTGGTGACAAGATTCCCTCCGGGCTCAACTCAAAGAGTCTCAGGACCAAGGGCAGGTACGCTTCCATGGTAGGCATCCCAACCCTCACCGGGTTGACATCTCTGAACATGGTGTTGTTCGGCGGAGGTGACTGCGCGCAGTGCAAGAAAGCACTGCTTGGCAGTGACAACTTGATGGCGCCTGGGCTGAGGCACATGTGGGAAAACTCATTGATGGACGGTTGTGACAACTTGATGGCACCAGGATTGATCGCTAGTTGAATCTATTGCTTTTGCTCAGAATAAAAAACATATTGTAACTTTCCACAATCAGTGACAAATTGGCCGCTAAGGCGCTCATCACAGCGCCCACACTTGGGCTACCCATGGCTTCCACACCTATGCCCCCTTATGGGACGTCACACCTACACTCACACCTCCTTGAGCAACAAGGTTTTATAGGATATCATTCATTTCATGGTCATGTGGCATATGATGCGCATTGCAGATTGGAAATGTCAACCCCCCTTCCCTGAGTCGGTCCTCCTTGCTTGCCAGGCATTCCATGGAGCCAAGCACCAAAGAGCTGTAGAGAAAAAAACCATTGCAATGGTCGGAGCGCTGGTGGGATATAGAATGAAAACATATTACAACGGGATAACTGATTCCTGTAACTATAGCCATGGTGAGGCCAGATAATTTCACAATGTTTTATTAATCTGTCAAATAATGATTGGTTGTAACAATTATTCATTGGCTGAAGATCTGATCTGGCTAGCCCTGGTCCCTCGGGACCCTCGGTGATTTTTCCTTGAGGTACCTGGACCCTCGCTGGCACAGTAATTGGTACCAAACCCTCGCTCACAGAGCCCAAACCCTCGCTCACAGAGCCCATCGAGAGTTAGGGATATGAAACAAAAACAATGTGAAATACTGGTTGGTGGTTGCATCACAAATAGGGTGAGTGAACCCCAATGATCATTAAACATGCTAATCCCCTAGGAGGTGATGCAGATAGACACCATGATTCACATTGATACAACAAAGTAGTACCCTAAGGTAATCTGACACAGATGTGGAAAACCCATGGGGGAAAGCCGTTCGGAAAATGATCTACTTTCATGGGTAAATACCACATCTATATTCGCTTGAAGGAGGATACAGAGAAATGTACATGGTAACGTCCAAAGAGATGCCATAGTTCGGCACGGTAACGTCGCCCTCCGTTGGATCACGACCCCCCTTGGATCCGCCAAAAGACTGCTGGCTGCGACCGCGCGGTCTGCGCCGGCAAGTTACCACGTCGTGGCCCGTGGCCATCAGTTGGGCAAAAACCTGGACTGTGCCGCTGCTGCGAAACCACCATATCACCATTTTCATTCAGACAACCCCAAATGGAGCAGCAATGGACCCTAGGACCCCAGTAGGGAGATCTAGTGGGGGATTTCATGGGATTGTAGATGGGGATTGACCGTAACAATGTGGGTGTAGAACCAGTAGAAATGGGGGGATATAATTTTAACAGGACAGAACGAAATGCAACGGGAGATATAGCCTATAGCCTATAGCCAACAAAGTGATCTACCCAAAAATGCAATGTTTATGTGGAAAATGAAGATAAACTAGTGCATTTAGGGGCAACATGGGGCAGCCCCTTTTCAGACAAACGTGGGCACCTAAAAAATCTAGCAGCATAGCATCATTTTTTCTCAGATTGATATGGTCATTGTTTGGTATCACACTCCTCGGGAGAAATCTGGGTGTTTGCCAGAGTTGGGATGAGATTGAGCTGGTTGATGAGGTTATTCTTACTGGTGCTTAGTAGGGAATGGATGGGAATGGGGGAATGGGATGATTACTAGTGATTGTGGATCATTCCCTCATTCCCTACTAAGCACCAGTAAGTATTTTTGTGTGACTCTCCAGATAGGATGATGATCCCTGGTGAACACTGAACACTATTAGACTGAGATCGCTTCAGAACACAAACCACTCTACTTTGAGATGATGTCAGTTCAAAATGGGCTTCCGACGAGAAGCTGCAGGAGTTCAAAAAGCACAGCTTTTCGAAGAGGTAGTGTATCCCTCACTCAACAGTATGGCCGGTGAACAGTTTCATTCTTCATGGCAGGTTTCTCTCTGTTTGCCAAAAGCGGACGACCATAAATTAGTCCCAGAAATTCCAATGGCCTTGTTTCCCGCCAATATCTCCAATGTACCCTAATCAAACCTGGCAATGAACAGTCCCCGTGGCCTAGCCATGGAGGTTTCGTTCGATGTGATTTTATCAACGACCACCAGATCCCCATTATAGTCCCAATATATACCCAAAATATTCTTGGTTATAAACCATTATGTTCAATCATCTTTGGTTGCAATCCCATCCCCCTAATATTAAACGCCCCCTTCTATGGTCCGTAAATCAAGGTTTCTGGGGGGTGTCTAATATTAGGGGGAAGGGATTACCCTCTGGTAAACTAACATAGCTATGGAAAATCATTATGTTTAACGGGAAAATCAACTATAAATGGCCATTTTCAATAAAGACAATAGAGACGTTAACTTACCAGAGGGTATCTCCCATGTTGTTTTCTCGTGGCTCCACTCCCAGATCGATGACAGGAAATGGCCTTGACTCAGCAGTACAATCAGCAATTGTTGCAGCTGAACCAGCAGTACCATCAGCAGAAGGCCTGGCAATGCGGCAAGACCCCACGATGTGTGATCAAGTTGGGAGTTCTGGCCAGTAAAAGAATAACTAATGACTGGTTCAGTATAGTTGATGGTAAGTTTGGGAAAACTAATTTAATGCTTAAGTATAGCTTTAATTAGTTTCACAGTAAGAGGTTGCAAGGATTCCAAGTTGGGTATGGTCATCCCACCATCATGAACCAGACTCTTTCTAATAGGGTATTATTAGTCTCTGTGAATATGGGGCGATGACCATTCCGACAATCCCCGAACTTATGGGACAACAATCCAATGCAACTTGACCGCAACAAATCGTAGCTAAGTTTGTTTGGAACCTGTATTTCACTAGGGTTTCTGGTGCAGTAGTAACTGTAGAGTTTATAAACCAACATATCCAAGCGTGTTTATACTTAATATGCACTTTTATGGTAGTTATTGCTATAGTGAATGCAGTCAGACTGTATATAGCCATAGCTATGGTAAATCTGTTTGATCGTTCTGTGCATAGAAGCCATAGCTATATCTATACCATAGACTATCTCATCTATATCATATTTTCTAGCTCTATGCCATCGGTTCTATCTATAGTATAGCTGAAATTTGAAAGGTACACATGTGCCATGGTCAAAACTGGAATTGTAAAGCCATATTGGTCATCAATCCATACCAATCCACTAATAGGGATGCATTCCATACTTATATTCCATTAGTAAACCCCTATTAATGGATTGATATGGATTATTTTCCATTAGGTAAATCCCTATTCATACTCATTAGTCCATTAATATATATATATATATACATGATTATATGTGTGTGTTTTTGGCACAAGAACAAGTCGGGATCCCATGATAGGCTGCCTTGGAACAGCAAGCGATGCAGCTCACCATGGAGTGCCTCGAATTCATCGGCGGATGTTCCATTGGGACAACATCAACATACCCCCTGCAGTTATGGCCATTTACCAGTTATAACTGGTTATAAATGGGATTATACATTCTATAAATGGGGTTATAAGTACTTATAACTGACAAATGGCCATAACTGTGGTAAACAGACAAAAAACTATGGAAAGTTACCATTTTTAAGGGGTAGTCATCAACTATCTCGACTGGGCCATTTTCAATAGCTATTTTGACATAACCAGAGGGTACATCAACCACTGGAGAAAATAGGGGCATAGCTTGCCAGAAATTGGATTTAACCAGCTAAAATTGAGTATGTTATTCCATGGAGAACTGGTTGGTGGTTTGGAACATGAATGATATTTTTCCATTGTTGAGTGTTACCTATTAATGGGGATTAATAGGGATTAACAGGGATTAATCCCCAGTCATAGAAAATGGGGTGTGATTTTCAACTATTGTTCTGGGTGAATTATAACGACCTTAGGGTTCTTCCGAACCCTGGAATCATGGCTTTTAATAGGGAAATCATCCCCATTCATGGCCCAACAATTCAGGTTAGCGAAATATTATAATTTACCCAGATTGTTGAGTGTTACTAAGAAAATCCCCAATCATAGAAAACGGGGGTGTGATTTTCAATTGGGATGTACAAACAATATGTACAATGTGTACAACTTTATAGAACCAACACTGGAAAGTTCATTAGTGCAATGTGGTGCTTGTAGTTTGAAAGCGGTTTCTGTTTGTTCACAACCACACTAAATATTGGATTTCTGGAGAGATCTAGAGTGAATGGGTGTTTACCAAAGAACTCTGGGCCACTTTGCATACAAACAATGTGGTACCTATGGCCCCGTAATTTTTTGGTCCTAAACCATCCAGCTATTGGGGGATCAATACTAGCCATGCTAGCCGCTGTTTCTGCGATCCAAGATGGTGATCAACTGGGGTGGGTCAATATGCTGGGATGGGTCAATAGCACCATGTTTGGGTGGACATGAGGTAAACAAGCGAAACTTGAGGATCATTGTAGCGGTAAAACATGTGATTCAATAAATATCATCTCTGACTGGCTGGGAAATCTGGGAAATCCACAGAAATGCCGGTTATGGGCAGGTTATGGGCAAATCATCCAAATTTCTGAGGGAGTTTCCAACAAGTTATGTTTAATTACCAGTGGTTGAACCATACATTTTAAGGATCAAACGTGGGCTGTTATAGACGTGCCACTACTGTAAATAGGTTGTATGTATATTACACGAGATTAGGTGCATCTATCGATATATGTACCTACTCTATATAGTTTGTGGAAAGTGCAAAGTTCCAAGAAGTTCAGCGCATTTAGCCAGATTGCTGTTGTTTTTACAGTGCATACTCATTTGTCTACTACTGTAATCATAATACCCGTTGCTTCCAGAACTATTTCCAGCACTATTTTCCACAATGATTCCCCTCACTAGACGCACTGCACCAATAATTACATAGATGTACCTGTAGATATATACATAGTATGTACTTTTACATATTTAATA